GGAGGAGCTGATTGTGGGAGACCAGACTGGTGCCGCATAGGTGAGATGCGGCACCATTCTGGTCTGTACCATGTCATTAAATTCATTGGTTGAAAAAAATATCATCCTCGGGGCTGTTAAAAGCAATTCCAGACAGAAGATCCTAATCTTACCTGAACCCTTGGTTCACAGCCGGCACGACAGAATGCAATCGTCAGTTTGGATGAGGCTTCATTCGGGAATCCAATAAAATACGGAGGTCAGCCACAGCGCATTCATGAATATTTTACCTCCGCTTATCAATCTTGCTTTACTTAGTCGGTGCAAGCCACTGACACACAGTCAAGGCACACTACTTATTACGAGTGCGCTCCTGAGTCCTGTGCAGAATGACAGGCTTTCTACATCCGGCGCATCTTGTTTTCTAATGCCTAACGGAAATTGAGCCTGAGATTGCTGTGGTTTTCAGATATACTCATCCACTAAGCCACCGAAGGGAACTGATTAGAGCAGTTTATTATCATCAAAGAACTAAACCAATGCTCATAAATACTACCTTGAGAGCAGACTGGAACTGCGGAGACTGGACGTTGGTGATGATGTTTTCGGGGGTGGTCAACACCTTGTCCTCGGGATCTCGGGGAGGAAGGTGGGCGGCTAAACGGTCCTCCACATCTTTCTTCGGCAAGAGGTCGCGCACTGAGTTCGCATTTATACCCTCGGACAAATCAATTTTCGTAGCTGAGGCGAGAGAGCAAAAAGGGGAGAAGTGAGTAGATTTTTAAAAAGCCAGCAACGATATTCAGCATTTGACAGTCGGCTTAACTACACGAACTGTACACATCAAAAATTCACGTCTAGATTAATGGGCACAGTGTACCCAGATTTGAGGACTAAGTGATTTATAGGGTGGGAACATATAGCAGAAAATTAACTGTTGGTGTCTGAAAGTGGACGAGTCGAATAAGGTTTCTAAAGGACTAGGATATTCCTTTCCGCCTAGGCAAAGCGCAGGACTGTTTCCTCACCCTTCTGAGATTTAAGGATTGTGTGTGTATGCAATGCAACACTTCAACAAACCACGGCTCCTGAGGCCTGGTGTGCGCTGGCAGTTTGCCTTGGATGTGATTCCCGGGCGGTGTATGCGCTTGCGCTCCCAATGGGTCTACAGACCGTGTACATGGTTGCCCGGTTAATTGTATCTCCTCTCTCTGATCCAGAGGAGTGAATACCGGTAGGTGGCGCCTACCGAATTTGCGGGCGGCGTGATGGCGACGGTGGCTGCCACACCCTCGTCTGTGTAATCGCAAGGGCCACTCGGCTAGTCGCCCTGTGCTTATCTTACCAAAATGGCCGTTCTACGTGTGGTGGCCTCGGTCGCACCAGTCACCTGCAGATGGGGTATGCAGTTGAGAGAACGAAAAGCTGATAAGAATAGAAGAACTGATGTCTGCGCGTCTT